ACCAATAGCAGGTCAACATTAGGTATACCTTTAATTTTTTCAACCGCACAATGACCTTAGGCCACAAAACTTTTATGCTTTAGCGCATTTACTAAGAACACAGCATGACCGAAGTGATACCACGGCCTCACAGAAAACGGGCGTGAAGCAACACTTACGTTGTGACGTTGTTACGTTGTGTTTCGCCGTGTGAGTGAAGTTACCAGAAGTCCAATCCTTCCCCTCCCTCATCCTCTATATCCTGAAATGTCCTATGCCTTCCAAACCAATCCCAGTGGTTAAACAGAAAGAAGGATCAATCGCCAAGTCCATTAAGAAGTCACAATCCCCCTCTATAATCCTCGACACTCATTAGCAAACATTTCCAGTCATATTTGCATCGGAACTGCATTTAGAAGAAGCTTAAAGACCTAAAAATCCAAAAAATCGCCAACCCGCATTGAGCAAGCGTGGTGATTAATGCTCTAACTTCTCTGTATGATAAGAGACCTTTGTTCAGCAGTGGGCACTTATAGGCTGATGATGAATCCACAAAAGGCCGGCAACGCACTTCATTGGTTATACTAGTGACCATAGGTGGCGCCGAATGCTTACCATCAGGTAATCAAGTCTTTCGTTTGCCGACCTAAGCAAAAAAAGGCTGGATACGATAAAGAAGTAGCTATTAAGTCAGCTGCTAAGTTCCGACTAAGTTACAATTAAAACGTTTTAATTCCCCTGGATTAAGAACGTTCGCTAGTGTTAGAAGCGAGAATAGCTTTTTTCTTTTTTATATTTCCTTCTATTCTTTTAATGGTTTTATTTTTTTTTATCCGTGCTATCCGGAAAGAAAGGAATCTACATTTTAAACTTAAAAAAAGGTATGTGTTGTTCTGTTTTTAAAAATATATTCGACATAAACAAACAAGGCATTGACATTAAACCTTACTCACCACAAAATAACTGACATCAACATTGTAAGTTTTTAAAAAACATTCTTCCGCTTTGACGTTGCCATTCGAAAAACAACTTTAAGTACCTACTTTAAAAAACACTTCAACACCTCATTCAATCACTGCAGTTTTTAAAAAGCAACTCAATAAATACTAACTCATAATTGAATTTACTTTGTCTCGAATTCAGTAATACAGGCAGTTTATAATGTAGCGACAATCCCTTCATTCCTTATCCTGAAGTTTGTTTAAGCAGGTTTATTATATTAGGGACCTTTGTGTACACAGCCTAACGTCTGTACGAGGTACGCTTGGTAACTGTACTCTCGAGATAAACCACTCGACAATAGCTCCTGGCCGCAGGTGTTACGTCACAGAGCCTGCAGTACCTATCGACCGGTTAGCTAACTGCAAAGCCACGTCCATGTACTAACGCCAGCAGGTCTACCTACCCCAATATTTCAACCTTTTTCATCCAATTTTCGCCTTTATACCAAAACTTTAAAGTTGAAATATTAAAAACTAAAAAGTTTAGCTTCATCTGCTCGAGTCTGTACTTTACCGACGGGATTCATCTCATCATTTATTCATACTGCAGCTTACATTTTGAATTCGTTTTACAAACTTTCAAAGATAACGTTATCCTTTAGTACTGTTGGAACTGGCTCATAGTACTACAGGATAATATATTATGTCTTCACAAGTGAAACATAAGAGTAAAAATAACATTGGAATTCTTCGGCGATATATTTCCTTTATAGCAGATAGTAGTTAGCATTAATGGACCAATGATATAACTTCTAAACAGCTATTAAAAAGCAATCTTGTATTATTACCGTTACAAGCAAATCAAACATTTACTAATTAAAACCATTCACTGGACTTTATAAGCACTTTCAGAGTGGCTTTCCGACTAATACCAACCACGCATTACAAAATATGAATTCCTTTTATACTATAAACATTACATTGACATGATCGTGTATTGTCTGGTTTGCATGGTATAAGCGCAATAACGTACCGCGGTTCGCGCACAAAACAGAAGAAGTAACGAGGTGGTTTTCAGTCAGTAAAGAGTCCGAAACTCCCTTTGGTGGGACCAAAATCAGAAGTTACTTGATGATGTGTATTAAAACGATAGGGCAATTTTGATTCACGAACATTTGAATGCACCACCATGCAGAATGTTATTGCTCGATGTTTAATTTAGATAGTCGTATAAACTCGTAGTACTACGAGTAAACAGTGCCGTCAAAACTATTTTATACTCTGTGGCTAACAATAGTATCGCTTAAGCACGTACTACGTGTTTAGAGGTCTGTAGTTTTATAGCCTCGCCCAGCAAATGCCGTAAAAGTAAGGGGTCGAGATCGCATTATATTCCAAGAAATAAAGTGTTTAACCATCGCTGGAGCAGGAAGCTAATCTCCTGCAGCCCGCGGCTCAGAAATAGGAAATGTCTGATACCAGTTGACCTCAAATATTTCGCTTTTACCATCAAACTGTCGACTTTCCGTTCAGTGCTGATAAGATCTTGAACATAACAAGTTTTCTAAGTACATAAACATTGTCAAGATTAACGCTAAGCAGCCTTACCGTTCTTGAAAATATTAATCCAGTTGCGTTAGCCGAACATAAGCTAAGTTACTAAATAAATTACTAAGAACCCACGAAAAAGAAAGTCCTTGAAGTGGCTCATTAATCATAACCAGCTACTTAATGTTCATCAACAACAAAATTAATTATCTACGGTGCGCCGTGCGAGTAACCACAAAACTTTATATACATCATTTTTCCGCAGGATATCGAAGAGAGGTTATTGTACGAAATATCGACCCACACAGCACTAGAAATAGATAAATCAATAGCACTTAATACTGGATGTCGCAGTCTGTCAATCTGAAGAACCCATCGATGTTCAATATTGTTAAAATCGATGTACAATAAAAGTTGGACGACTGCTCAAGCAGCTGAGATTCGTTTTAAGATATAAAAGGTTGGATAGAACGGAGACGTCCGCTGCATTCCAATAGTCCTTTCACGCTTAGAAGTGCTTCGCAATAACCTGCGCAACGTGCCATCGGTTAAATGTCGAAGAACAAATTGCTCTCAGCGACCTTACACTCTATAAATAATGGAACAGGGTGTTTGATGCAATGCAATCTTTATGCGGTTCCGTCCTTTATAATGTTTGAATTAAATATTCTACATGAAAATGTCCCTTCCCTACTGCGAGTGCTATCCATTTCTGCAATACGTACGATACTTCAAGTAGTGGTGATGTATATAATATTTAGTATTAGGGATAAGGTGCAGTCAAGTTCCTCGGTCAGAAAGCACGAGCTAACTTCGTGACAAAGCAAAACATGCAGCAGCAACAAATAAACAACTGTACACACCTAACAAAAAATACGAGGAATGCAAACGGACAAGGGCAAAACAATTTGTATCGGAAACTTATTTAAATCATTAACTAAATTGGTGCCCTGGAGGTATTCAAATGATTATTGGAAGAACAAAACTGGAAAAGGAAGAAAGTTTTTTTGTTGAGCGTGTCGTTGATCGTGGTAGAGGACGATGAGCGGGCGCGCGCGCCGGGCACTCACCCTGTTGCGGGGTAGGACAGGAGGGCGGGGGAGACACCACTACTACCCATAGCTTGCCTCAGCTGTGAACCACGGAAGTGCCTCCTATAACATCTCCGTGATGAATCCTTTACCAAGCTCAGAGGCACCTTTGTTGTTCATGTTTTGTTCTTTTTCAAAGGTATGTAAGTACCTAATGGTGATTTTATTGTGAGAATCACGATTGAGTTTCTAATAACTACTTAATTATATAGTCTATACTTCCACTTAAATTTCTTGTAAGAGTGAACTCAATTGGCACGAATTGCATAAGTACCATAAGAATTTCAAGAATTTGAAAAAAATCACTTGAATGATTTCACAGAAATAACTTAAACGTCATTAATGTTATTAACAAAAGGTTTCGTTGTAACAAGTGCTTCTCAAACAAATCTTATGGCTTTGAAGGTCCCACCGCTTTACAATGTGCCACTGCCGAACAAAGGTCTGGAGACAAAAAATCTTCGTTTGCAAAAGGTCCGTTCAACTACCTGCTTCAAAGATAAACGTAAGAAAGGCCTCTGTGAGGTTGAACATTAGTGATGTACCGTACTTTGCTGATGACACATCGCGTCCAGACCCGCCATATTTGATGATGATGTGCCCAAATGTTTGCAAATAGCAACCTTCATGATAGCATTTGAATTGTCACATATAATGAGTCACACACTGAATAAAATATCTTTTGAATACGGGTAATGAAGCCTCACGTGTATCCGGCAATGCAAAAAATATGAACCACGAAATTCGTTTGGGTTTCGGCAAAAACCGTCTCTGTGTCCAATTGGTCATGTGCTCATGAATACTTGTGTAGATTGATAGTTTTGAATGCCATGGGAGTTATCGCAACCTCCAATACTTTTATTATTATTTCGATTAGCAGTTTAGTATCACAATTCCATTTCAAAATTAACCGTCTTATTTGAATTCCTTATTTAAAAAAATGACAAAAATAAGAACGTTTATATAGATAACCTTTGATATGCAATAAACACAAATGTAGGTCAGTCTTAAAACGTATCAATTGCACTTATTTCTAGTCAAGTGTGTGTCTGTTCCGAGTTAAATAAAGAAACAAACAGATAAGGACCGATACATAGGGAAGTGTAATCCGGTCTGTGGAGGATCTTTCAAATGTGTTGAAGATAATGATAAAAACAAATGAGAATGTGTGTGGAGTCCACCTGTTGACGGCGCACCTGGCCCAGGCACACACTGGGGTGGCGTGCACTCGGCCACCAATGTTTATCTCATTTACAAATATTTAAACATCGCGTGACTGAACCTTAGATGCATCCGACACGTCTCAGAGAAAATAAAACAAAGATAAAAAGTTCGAAAGCCTTTTTCTAAAGCCTCATAGTATAAACCGACTCTAATTATTATACTTCTAAACTAGTCGAACAACCGTCTTGTAACTAGTATAATATCCGGTTTGCCGTACCTTATTCGCTGGCCGCATCAAACACTCTTCTGCACCGGAGGATGTGTTGCTTCATTTACTACAATCTTTCAAATATCACTAAGTTATAGAATCACTCCTGACACTTTACACCAAACACAAAAACTTTTTATCTAGTTGATTACTTCCATCTACTGATGTTCACACGTTTTCTTTTTATTCGGTTACAACTTATTCATACTTGTCGACTACTTTTCATTTATAATTATCACTTTCATTGTTTTGTTTTACCGCATTTTAAATTAATTTATTTTCCATGAGTGAATGTATCGGAGAACGCTCGCGGCCGTCCGCCGTCGACTGTAGAAGTAGTAACGTACTGGCATCGCGGCAACCACCACGCTGAGTGGGAGGAGGATTATGAGACAGTGCTACGGAGAACGAGTACGTTAGAAAGAGATGGCATTATACGTCATCACCGGTACATTTATAAGGCAACTAATGAAAACTGTCCTCTAAATAAATTAAGTAACTCACAAAGTCGAGGGTATCCATTTTTACCGTATAATACCGGTTTTACCTGTGTCCGACTGCGTGCCAATAAGGTAATTCGAATTCCTGTGGAGTGAAAAAGACGGAGATTTGTGTCGAAGGCTCTACACACATACGTCGTAAGGGTTACAGTTCGGAAAGAAAATGTTAATAAATTAAATTTGAATACTGGGTTCGTTAACGGTCACGACGCCGAGGCGCAGAGTGAAACGGGAGATACAGAGTTTGATAGTAAACAAACCGGTTGTAACTTCTCTTTATTTAATTATAGATTCATAATTCAGTATTGTATTCAAAATTTTCGCATGGCACAATAAAAGAGTGCGAGCACTATCTAAATTTGCGTAGTACAGAAAATAAGCGTTAAATCAGTTAATTCAATAATCGCGTTACAAGAATACGAGTAGGCAGCCCAACATACACACGAATTCATTGTGCAAACTTGTCGAACAAGGCATCGGCTGTACTTACTACTTACTGGCATGAATCAAAAGGCAAGAACTCGGTTACTTTTATTTGTGGTTATTACAACAAAACAAAGAAAAGCTTCACTTTTACCAATTAGCTCGGTGGCGCAAGCGGCCGACAGACGCGGCTTTGTTTCCGAAAACAAGTGAAAATCTATCCGATATCGACAGTCGACACACTTTCGTTACACTTGCCTCGAATTTTTATTGTGTAACATTTTTTACACACTATCATAGTTCTGTAAACACGATAATTATTTATTTATCCAAAATATTCAACTTTTACTTTCAAGTGAGACTAAATTAACTACACACCGCACACTTGCGTATACAAATACCCTAGTGTAAGTTCAATAAGTAGTACTCGTACAGCATTACAAGTCATTTTTCTATTCAGTTATTCAAAAACAAACATATTTTACTAGCCACGAGAAACAATTAAATGTTTTTAAAATTCAAATGAAGCAGCTGCTTCTTCTAGATAACGTATCTGCAACAAGATGTAAATGAAATGGAAACGTTGAACTTAAATAAAATAAATGGCATCAGAAATATTGTACCTATAAGCTTTCATTGTTTCTTGCCCATCCATTTCTCACCTCCGCCGTGTTATTATCATCCTACCATTAATTAACTCACTATAAGTGTGTGGTAATTGTTACCTACATAAAGCTAATGTTGATTGATTGAAAAACATCTCTGGAAATGCTCTTTAATTGAGGGCTCCATCATCTTCACAATTATTGCGGTAATAACGTGTATCTAATTATTGTCTATTACTGTTTTAAAACCTTATTACAAAAAAATCAGTCTACTTCAAACACGGATTGAAATTGGGTAAAGAGAAAGTAAATCGCTTTCCGATTTCTTCACCTTTTTACATGGCGAATACTAAATTAGGTGGGTTGGAGCAAAACAATTTCATTGTCAATTATTCGGACGTGCATCGCATTCCTCGTTAGAAAATTTTGTTCCAATTGGCAAAGAGACGGAAAGAAGTAGATACCTATGTAATAAATAAATCAGTAGTGGTAATGATGGATACAAAATACAAGGTTTCACTATTTTCTCTGTTACAGTATTGTATTTATAAAATTTCTGTCATTTAAAATCCAATGGTGTAGTGACGGATACAAATCCTCGCATATCCTGATTAAATTTTGTATTGAGAACATTGATCATAAAATAAAATCATGCGTTCAAAATTGCTGAATGTAAAATCACTATGGCACTTCGCAGGCTAATAATAACATAATGTATACCAACACTATGAAACTTTTTGTTCTAAAGCAACTACTAAAGAACAAAAAAGTTTCAAATATCCACATAGAATAGAAATTCGTCAATATGAACGCAAACTCGTTACCTTATGATTTATTCCGTTTGTCTCCTGACCACGAGCACAATGACGGATACGGTTTTAAATAAGGAGAGCATCAGTCTCTAAGTAGCAATTTTCGCCAGATGTCACTGCGTGATCAGCATCGTTTAAGAGCCTACGGCAATGGAAATCGAACCAACGGCTGACCCCTTTCTGCGATGAATAGTAATGACCCTACTTGGATTGTTCACGGTGCGACTCATGCTCATATCGATTATATATGCATCAGAACCAGCTTTTGTGGGTTGAGGCGTGCCACAAGATTCGTCATAAAACTTATCCAAGTTTAATGTAATGTCAAGCGGGATATTGGCGCTTCTTACTCATCATGTATGTTGTTGGCAATAACAAGTTTAGTTTCATAAGTTAGCTCAGTTCAGCAACACTAGTAAAGTCTTTCCTTACAATCGTTTTTTATTTAGGATAAGTGTAGGAAAGCCATGCTTCGGCACGAATGGGTCGGCTCGACCGGAGTGATACCTCACAGAAACCTCACAGAAAACCGGCCTGAAACAACCACAGCGTTGTGTTTCGCTGTGTGAGTGAGGTTACGGGAGGCCCAATCCTTTCCCTACCCCAATCCTCCTCAATCCCTAAATCTTTAAATCCCTACTCCCTAAAGGGTCGGTAACGCTCTCGTAACTCCTCCGTTGCGGGTATTTTGATTTATTTGATTGCTTACCATCAGATAATCCGAATATTCGTATGAATCTTACAGCCCACATGTCATTACCAAACGAGCTTTACTAACTCGGTAACATTTGATAGCAGTTTTGCAGATTTTCGATCATCGAAAACCGCTGACACTATCCTAAGACATTCATATTTTTGCAGAACCTCAATGTGCCGAAGCTACAATAGAAAAAAGGGGCCCACTTCATTTTTCTAATTAAAAAGATCCTTTATCTTCAAGCGAGTGACTACGCTCATCTTAAACACTTTTGACCTCAAAACCGGTTTACTTTACCATCCTATCTGTAAGTACACAAGTATGTACTTGCCTTTTTATCAAGTAATGAGTCTTATAAGGCGCACATGTAATTCTACAAGATTATGTACCTACGTGTGTACCGTGTAATGAAGGGCTCGCTCGCCATGATCCAATCTCCTAAATAAAACTAATTTCGCAACTTGTTTGCTGCCAGCTTTGTTACTTTATCTTTTTGGAATTAAAAAAGGATTAGGTTCAAAGGTTTTTCGAATACGACATTCTTAGAATCGCTATTGCTACCGAGATTAGATGTTTTTCAATGACAACGAAATGGTTCTTCAATTTTGTCAATGTGATTGGAATTAATTTCCAGATAATTCGTCAGTAGATTCCAAAAAAAGGAAAAGTTTATTACAGCTACCTAGTCCTTTCGTTGCCTTTCGATGTTTATGTGTGTGAAAATTTTGCACTGCCATCCTTAGCGGATGGTAGGGTAAAATTTTCGGTTATAAAATTCTTAGTCTACACATGTAAAATTTAAGAGCTTTCGCTTAGCTACGACAACGACCATTCGATTTATAGATGTATGTGATTCGATAGACAGTCAAGAATTATGGCATACCTACCAAAGATGGTATCGTGCAGGGTGAGACGGGAGGGAGTGTCAGATTCTTACTGACTAAAAATTCCCCCTTCTTTCTCCTGCACTAGGCCGAGGTCGAGGAAATTTAAACGGTGTAAGATAGGTGGTGAAAAGTTCACCCGCCAAATTATACTTGATTTGCGTATTTTAGTCGAGCTATCGTTTTTAAGATAGCTCGGCGAAAGATGGTATTTATTGATGAGTGTACTCCATTGTCAGCTACACTAACTCCTTACACCTGGCGATACAGATCCCAAAAGCCGACCTATTAAAAAAACTACGTGAAAATCAAACCGTTCGGTACTCGATACGTTGCAGCCAACAAGGCTGGCCCTTGTTGAATAAATAAAAAGTTTTTAAACCTGAGGAAACACCGTAAAATTTACGATCTAAAATATGAACAACATGAAACTAGGCGGTCAACCCTTCACCAAACACAAAAGACGATCGAAATCCAAACTGAAGACCCAAAAATAATTCCGTAAATAATAAATGTTAGTAGTATCGATCCTTTAGACTAGGTGGCTTTGACTAATGATATATAAAATCAACACAAGGCCCACGGTACATATTTTTATTGATTTTTATAAATGATTTGATGTCCATTTGATTTATTCCAAATGTGTATAGAGACTCGGTCTAATGGTCATTCTCAATTTATTCATTCTTAAGCAATAATAAAATAGAGTAATACGAGGCTTTCTGGAGTTGGATTGAACTTTATGGAGTGCTAATTCTACTGCGATAAGTTTATTCTACATTAAATTTGCATTTGACTGCTTCCAAAAGTTTTTGTGTTCAGAACGTTGATGTTAATCCGCAAAGACGTAAAAGAGGCCGAAAGCAAATTCCAAATGCACCTATAATATACGCGCGCGGCTTTGCACGCGTAAAAGAGTACTGTATCCCGAAATTTTTTAAAGACTGTTGTTTAAAAAGTCCCATTAAAAACTATTGCTCGGATAAAATACGCAAATCAAGTATAGTTTTGCGCGCGAACTCTTCACCATCTATTTTACGCGGTTTGTTTTTTTTTCATACTAGTGTTTTTTCCCGCTAACTACCGTTCCCATAGGATTTTTTTTAATATCCTGTAGCAACTAAGCTTTAAGTTTGCTTAGGTACCTGCATGCCAAATTTCAAACGTCTAACTTAAGCTGTTTAGATTTTTCATACAAAAGGATTTTCCCGCTAATGCGTTCCCGTGGAAATTTCGGGAATTCCTTTCTGAGTGTACTTGTACGGTACCTAAGCTATGTCTTTTCCAAATTTCAAATGTCTAATTTTAGCTGTTTAGGCTGTGCGTTTATATGTCAGTCAGTTTCTCCATTTATATGTTACATATCATTTTGGCCATTGATTTTAACTCCTCCCATTAATCAAGATCACAATAAG